GAAGGACTGAGAGCACCCCAGAGGCCACTGTCCAAGTCCCAGAGCCCAAATGCTGAAGAACCTGGAGTCAGATGCCCAAAGGCAGAAGGAAAAACAGCAGCCTGCTCTGGAAGGGAGGGAGACAGAGACAGAGACAGAGAGGAATCCCCAGCAAGCTGCATGCCCCTTCTTCCTGCTTTGTTCTGCTGTGCTGGCAGCCAGCTAGACGGTATGGTGCCCATTCACAGTGAGGGTGGGTCTTCCTCTCCCAGTCCACTGACTCACGTCAGTCTTCTCTAGAAACATCCTCACAGACACACCCAGAAACAGTGTTTCACCAGCCACCTAGGCATCCCTCAATCCAGTCAAACTAATACCTAATATCAACCATCACAGAATTCATGGGGACACTCAGCCCTTGAGTTACACTTCATGGGTCTTTTTGTTACACACATATGCATGCAACAAGTGGCCCAGTGTGCTCTTTAAAGCAACTATAAGATCGTCATTATTCTGGATGATGATTTTAGGTTTGGATGATAAATGTTTTGTTTTGGTCGTGTATGTTTTTGTATGCGGTCAAGTCTGAGCTAAGTCTCTACAATTTTCTTGCTTTCCAGGAAGGAGTGAAATATCTCATAACTCTGTAGGAATGCAGTGAATTACAGTGTTTGTTTATCCTTGCAGAGTGGAGAGTGTTTTTTGCCAGAGCAATTGTTTGCAAGAGCTGCCAGCCTGGAGGACTACAGAAGGACATTCAGGTGGAATATTCACCTCTCCCTAGAAGACAGCCTATGAAAGAGAACTATGTGTTCAATGGGCAGTTTTTTCCTCCAAGTGGCATTATTGAAGCATGATGACCTCAAAGCCCTTGAGACTATTGCGCTCTGATGGGACTGCTGTACGGAGTACCACTGGGTGAGATCACAGGTCTGGAGTGAGAGCTGGGTTTCCCGGGGGAATAGATGTCCCATCATTGGTCACCAGGGAGGAGCAGGTGTTGGGCAGGGAGGCAGCTTGAGAATCTTGAGACCCTTTCTGGGTCTCGGGAAGGGTGAGGCCGGGATTCTAGGCAGCGTAGACCTGATCGAGGGCACTTGCAATGTGTGCATTTGTGCCGGCTCATGCGACATGACAGGATAGGAGTCCTGTAGGAAGACAGTGCAGCTTTGTCCAGCAGAGTGCAGCCAAGCTGTGTGCTAAAGGACAGGACCCTGTGCACCCTGCTGTAGGAGAAAGGCGGCCTGTTTCTTTACACAGAGGTACCACCTACTAACCAAACCCTCTGCCTCACAAGGCCATGCCCATCAAGTGGGATCTCCATCTTCTAACGTATCTGCCTGCCTTGCAGGTGGGGAGAGGGGACATAGTTTTTTTTTTTTTTTTTTTTTTTTTCTGCCACAAAGAAGACATCTTCATGCCAAGCCGTCAGCCTGCTTAAGGTGGATAGATTTTTATCACTGGGCATTTCTAAATATAAGTCTGAGGATCCTGAAATTCATAACACAACATCTTTTAATTGTTATTATTCTCTGCCTTATTCTTGCTCTCTCTCTTTCTCTTTTTTTTTTTTAGACGGAGTCTCACTCTGTCACCCAGGCTGGAGTTTAGTAGTGCAATCTCGGCTCACTGCAACCTCCGCCTCCCAGGTTCAAGCGATTCTTCTGCCTCAGCCTCCCAAGTAGCTGGGACTACAGTTGTGTGCCACTACACCTGGCTAATTTTTGTATTTTTTGTAGAGGTGGGGTTTCGACCATATTGGCCAGGCTGGTCTTGAACTTCTGACCTCATGATCCACCCACCTCGACCTGCCAAAGTGTTGGGATTACAGGAGTGAGCCACCATCCCTGTCCTCTTTTGCTTTTTAAAAATTAAAATAGAAATGGCATCTCGCTACGTGGCCCAAGCTGGTCTCGACCTCCCAGGCTCTAGCAATCCTCTCCCCGTGGTCTCCTGCAGTGCTGGGATTACAGGCACGAGCCAGCTTGCCCAGCCCTTTCTTTCACTTTTGAATGTTTAGTAAACACTTGTTAAGAGTCAGGGATTTACAGAGCTCCTATTGTCTACCAAAAACCATTCTAGACCTTGGGGTTACAGAAGTGGGGGTGTGGGTGGGGTGCAAAAATTCCTGCCATTGTGCAGCTTGTGTATTAGAGAGAGGATTGCGCTCTGGGGACTCAGGGAATGCTGTGTCCTGTGCTTAGGATGGAAGGCAAAGGGAAGCCCAATGTCCCTCATCCCAGATGGCAGCAGCAGAGCCAGCTAGCTATGCCCTGCAGAGGGTCAGTCTCCTGTGTGTCATTAATGTCAGGGGGTGATTTGGGGAGGCAAACAAGCATTTGGAGCCTGGCACCCGGGGGAATCTCAGAAATATCTGAGGAACCCTTCGAGAGCGCTAAATTCTGCTGCAGTGTTTAGGTATTTAATGGGTGTGTGAAGTCTGCTCCGAGCAATTATATGTGGCTTTGGTTCCCTCTAACCAGCACTAATTCTGCGCTTTCCAGTCTGAAGATGGGTCTTCTTGAATGAGAAATGGGAAGTAAAGTACAAATTGAGGAATTCTGCTTCTTCTGTTTTGTTTTGAGACAGACTCTCACTCTGTCGCCCAGGCTGGAGTGCAGTGGCACAATCTCTGTTGTGCCACCTCTGTCTCCTGGGTTCAAGCAATTCTCCTGCCTCCGCCTCCGCCTCCTGAGTAGCTGGGACTACAGGTGTGCACCACCACATCCAGTGAATTTTTTGTGTGTGTTTAGCAAGGACAGGATTATGCCGCTTTGGCCAGGCTGGTCTCAAGCTCCTGACTTTAAGTGATCCGTACCTTGTCTTCCCAAAATGCTGGGATTACATGCGTGAGCCACTGTGCCCTGCCTGAGTTCTGCCTTCTTGCTATCATCTGTTCACAAAATACGACTAGCCCCAATTAGCCTCTCTTTTCTCTTGAGCTGTCTTGTCATTGAGAGTCTCTCCTCTGAACACTTCTGAACCCTGCTTTCCGAATGGGTCCTGCCAGAGCCCCGGATGCCAGCAACTTTGCCAAAGCCAGCTCCTCTCAAGGTCCCTGTCACTTCTGCTTCTGCAGAGCACGATGCCTGCACTTAGGTACGGAGTAGCAGTCCCTCTCCTTTCTTTCTTTAAACTATGAAAGATGAAATTGTCAGCATGAGGAGAATTTATCAGACACCCAGCATCTAGGAGAAGGAGATTCCCACCTATCCTCACTTGATCTTGCCTCCATGCCAGCATTGTCAGATGTGTCATCAGAAGGCCTGCTCGTGCCTTTGAGCCCTGAGGGCAGAGCCACCCGCTTGTGGACGAGCAGGAAGAAAAGCCACAGCTCAGCAGCCAACAGCCATCTGGTAAAATTCCATGTGCACCTTTGCGTCTGCTGGCTCCTGCCCCTCGTCCATCCATCCTGGCAGACTCCTTCTAGTTTCTAGCCTCTGTTCCTAGGCCCTCCCTCTACTTGTCTGCCCACTTTTACAACCCTCTTTCTAGATTTGTCTCACTTGTGTCACGTGCTTTCTGCTCTTTGATTGACCTTGAACTCACATTTGTCTGCTCTTGAGTCAATCCATTTTGCTTCCAGACCCTGTGTCCAGACGTGCCCACTCCTGGAACTGCCTGCTACCAAGGTCAGCCAGTGGCTACTGCCTGGCTCTTGGCTTTCTGCGCCTCCTGCCCCTGATTCTCCCTGCCAGTGAGCTGCACGTGGCTCTCTGCCCTAACCCAGCACGTGGACTGATTCTCAGCAGCACAGCTTCCAGGCCTTACGCCTGTGTAGGCCACAGTCCTCCTTCCCTCTCTGCCTTCCCATCTCCATGACTGTCTCTGCTCCTGGTTTGTGGATTTTCAGGCAGGAGCTCTCATCTTAACACATGGCCTCCTCCACTCCATTCCCTCTCAGCTCTGTCTTTTGAGAAAAGAACACTGTCCCATTGCTGCCATCCCACCTGCCTAGGCTCAGTGAACCAGCACAGTCACATGGGCTTTCCTGAGCTATGATCTCAAGGCCACTGTTTTAGTGCCTAGACTCTGTCTCCTGGGGTGCAGACATCCAAGACTGCAAAGTTTTATTCCCTCTGGTATTTTATTTCCTGTGAATTGCTGGAGATTTCCTCCATTCTTCTTGTGGTTTCTATTTATTTTCTTTTATCAGACTCTATAATTTTGCTGCCAGAACCAGTGCAATGTTTTGTCCATTCTTGGTTTTAAAAAATGACAGAAATTCAGTTCCAATAAGTGCCAATGATAGAGAGGATTTGTGGGCCCCTATAACCCAAACAAGAAGGGCAGGAACAGGGTTGGACATCAGTGGCCACTAGAACCAGCAGCTGGAGGCTCTTGTGACACTTCCCCTGCTTGCTGCAGGCAGCTCTGTGCTCTCTGGCTGGCTTTCCTCTTGGGCCTGGAGGCTTTGCTGTTCAATAGGGCAGGGCTTGCTTCTTGGTTCAAAGTACCTTTGAAAGCACCTGGTTAATATCTTAGAGGATTAGGTCATCTCACAGTCCAAGGGAAAATGAGAGAAACCCTTACAGAGCCTCATCATTCGGGGGAACGTTCCTATGTGGGAGGATGTCAGTGCCAGAAAGAAGGGGTCTTGGCAGATAATAAATGTCCACTGCAGACCAAGGTTACATACCTCCAGACTCTGACCGTCTCTCATTTCTTCCCTTCTAAGTGCTCTTCCTCAAGTTAGGAGAAGTCTTCTAGTCCAGAGATCTTTCTGTTTGGCAACTTGGTTATGGAGAACGTGACCCCAGTGCACAAAGTTTTCTGTGGGTAAAATGTGGAAGGAATATATATTGGCAGCAATGGTGGTGGGAAGAGAGAGGGAGGGGAGAGTCAGATTACATTGTAGTTTTCACATGCAACTCAGCAGATCTAGACCAAGTCTCTACCAACGTTTTTATTTACATAAGCTAATCTGAGCACGTCTTCGGGCTTTCATTATAACTGTGAGTGGACACCGCTCATAGAGACAGGCGGTTAGCGCTAGAGCAATGGTTTTCAGAGTTTCAGATGCAGTGGAACACCCTTTATTTATCACAAAGAAAATAGCATGAACTTTAATATGCAGAACAGATCAGACCAGATACACTGTAGCTGAAGCTTCCCTTCTGGTACCCTCTGCAGGCTGAGCTTCACAGGACTCAATGAAAAAGCAGCTGTAACAGAAGAGATAGATAAGTTATATTCTTTGTTTAGTTTATTTACATCTGAATTTACTTTGAAACGCTTCAGCATTGGCAGTGTGATTTGCTTGTATGTGTTATTTAGATGTAATCTGCACCCAAGGGATGATCGCTTGCTGTAATTGGGAACGGGTACTCCTGGGATGGTTAGCTAATATTTACCAAAGCAGCAGGCAAGAGAGAAAATGAGAGCCAAGCAAAGGGGAAACCCCTTATCAAATCATCAGATCTTGTGAGACTTACCCACTATCATGAGAACAGCATGGGGGAAACCACCCCATGATTCAATTATGTCCCACCAGGTCCCTCCCACAACATGTGGGAATTACGGGAGCTGCAATTTAAGATGAGATTTGGATGAGGACACAGAGCCAAACCATATCACACGATAAGAAAGTTAAGAAGGGGAAGAGCCAATATCCTCACCTACTCAAGTTTGGATCTGAATTTTGTGGGGCTTGAAGCTTACATATCTTCAGGGTCTTCTTTGAAAAAAAAAGTATTAAAAATTATAAGTTCAAAATTATCTATGAAAATGAATGTTTATACGGAATGAGAAAATATGACTTCAAAAAAAATTTTTTTTCAATGGAATCTTGCTCTGTTGCCTGGGCTGGAGTGCAGTGACATGACATCGGCGCACTGCAACATCCACCTCCTGGGTTCAAGCGATTCTCCTGCCTCAGCCTCCCAAGTAGCTGGGATTACAGGTGTGTGCCACCATGCCTGGCTAATTTTTGTGTTTTTAGTAGAGATGGGGTTTTACCATGTTGGCGGCTGGTCTTGAACTCCTGACCTCAGGTGATCCATCCGCCTCACCCTCCCTAAGTGCTGAGATTACAGACACGAGACACCGTGCCCTGCCAATGACTTCAAATTTTAAAAAGTTTACAAATACCATTAAAAAATCTCCCAGATAATATAGTATTTCTGTTCATTAATGGTTGACATGGCTGTGTAACAGATTTTCTCACATTTTTTGGCCACATCCTCTCTGATGTCCTCATGTCACCACCATGTTGTAATACTTTCTATAGAGAGAATAAAATAATTCATTGCTTCCTCTTAGTGGATCAAAATTTTTCCCATGTTAATTTTTAAGATTCATAAAATATGCAACTTCAATAGACAACTTCACTATTTGTAGTTCTTCCACAAGGTTGTGCACCATAAACAGAAAACTTCTTATGAATTTAGTTTTGCATAATATCTTCAAAAAAGAAAACATCATGGACTGTTTATAATTGTATACATTGCATATAGAACACACTTCTGACAGAAGTCCTTCACTAGAAATGGATGAGAACAGAATCCTCCACTTAGAAATTTTTATGTCTTGATAGACACTTCCAGAGATTAGTTTCTGGCTTTGCACAATTAAAACCTTGCTTCTTCCCCTCTCCCTATAAGGATCCAGTGCTGGGTGCCATAGCATAGGTTCGTGTTGCATAGGTGCTCTGGTTCTGTATCGTCCTGTTATATCCCTTGGTAAGTTTGCCCCGTGGGTGGTAAGAATATCCTGCACAGGACAGCTAGGAATAAGTTGACTATACATGGAAATATCTGCAAACCACATAAATACCTCCCACTAAACCTCAGCTAAATGTATCACCAGCTCTACTTTCCTTAACTAGATCCCCAAAATGCTTACGGTCACTCCCCACCACCTGAAAGGGGAGATTGGCTGAAAGAAATTCATAATGGAAAGAGAGAGTGCTTTATTCCACTGTAGTTCAAATCTGTCCTTTGCAAAATTTATAAAACCATCTACCACGTCAACAGATGGCTGGGGACCCTCCCAGGGCCTTGGAAGTGGTCCATCACATGGGAGTTCTCATATTTAGCTTCATTTGTTTCATAATGCAATGCCTCTCCACCAAACAATGGAAGGCCACCAATATTTACCTAATTGGGAACAGTCAGTTGAGTTAGGTGGGTTTACAACAAAGGGAATAAATGAAAGATGGGTTTTTTCTATTTATAAGCTTCTGCTTATAATCATCAGCAAAACAGCCACACACAAAATAACTGCCAAAAATTTAACAAAACTACATGGCCAAAAGTGCAATTTAATGTAGTAGAAACTAAGCACAAACCACAACAAAGGGCAGGTGAAAAAAGAGGGTAGATGGATTAATCATAGGAGTTTTCTGGAGAAGGTGAGTTTGAAATAGCTTTTGTAAGGAGTGAGGCATAGAAAGAAAGGGGAAAATGCATTTGAGGAAGGCCTGAAAGGTCTAAACACATGGAAGAACATCAAATTGTGTATAAGGATCAGCTGAAAATTGACTGGAAAGGAGTCATGAAAAACGGAATAAAATTAAATTGTAGTGAGAGTGTTTATGGTCAGAATGAAGTAACTAACACGCATCTAGTCCACCAAGTGTCAGCAACTAGAAAACTACACAAAAATATTATCTGAAATAGCTATTTTCAGTTATTGAACAAGAAGCATTTCAGGCGTGAGATCTCAGGGAGAAGAGAATAAAGTAAGGTGAGCCCTGCCGTAGCCTAGCCTTTTATTTCAAGGCATTTTCTAGTTTCAGGAAAGGGGAATTCAAGCAGAGTATGGCAGTCTCATTGATTCAAAGAGTCAGAGACTAGAGTTCAGGAAGGCTGAGGCAGCTGGATGGAACTTGTGAGACAAGAGTACCAGAGTGAAAGAGCAGCACAAAATAAGTCTCAGAAATCTGCAGAGGATCCTCTTGAATCTTTGGCTAAACAATAAGATGGATATGTTTAAGGTCAAACTCTGTGAACTCTAGGAAATAATAATGATTAAGGAACGATAAATCATGGGGCAATATAAGCTGAGCCACTGTCAGAACTTGCACAAGATTGGGAGATATTTGAGTTCAGGCCAGCCAGAATGGAAAGACCTCATTGGATGCTTGATGCATTCAGGTGAAATTCAGAAAGAGTATGCCTTATTAGTAGGGCTAAACTATCCCGGAGCAGAGGATACTCTAGATTCTTTTTTAAAAAAAAGCCTCAAAGTGATAGAACTGACCTGAAATTAATTTAATTTATTGCCAGAGCAAAAATCAATAATCTTTAAAGAAACACAAGAAAATTCAAGCTAATAATGGAATATTCACAATAGCCAGAATCTAATCAAAATTATTAGACATGCCATAAACAAGAAGTGTAACCCATAATGAAAGGGAAAATCAGCCAATAGAAGCAGAACTAGAAACGACAAAGATGGAATGAGCAAACAAGGACTTTAAAACAACTATTATAAATTTGTTCAAGCAATTAAGGGAAAACATGAACATAAATAAGTAAATGAAAATTATTAAAAGAAACAAATCAGCCATCTAAAGCTAAAAAAAAAAAACCCCAGTATCTAAAACAAAAAGCCCACCAAGCAGGGAAGATTTAAAAACAGATTCTACAATTACAGAAGAAAAAATTAATAAAAGACATTATATAAACCCTAGAGCAAACTATTTAAAAAGGTATAGCTAATAAGGAAATAGTGAAAATAAAATGAAATACAAAATTTTTTAATTCAAAAGAAGGGAGAGAGAAATGAAAATAAAACAAATAATAAATGAAACCAATAAATCGATAGTTAACTGACTTAACACAGTCATATCAAGAATTGTATTAGGTAAAAATGGACCAAAATCATCTATTAAGAGATACTATTATACTTGGTTGAAAAGTAACATCCAACTATATGTTTTCTACAAGGTTTAATTTTTTAATACAAAGATACATATAGGCAAAAGTTAAAGGTTCACAAGATGATATACCAGGCAAATATTAATTATAAAGCTAGAGTGGCTACTTTGATATCAGACAAAGTAGACTTCATGAAATATTTCCAGATTAAAGGGAAATATTTTATCATCATAAAAGGGTCAATTGATCAAGAAGACTTACACTATTCAACACATATGCACGTAATAACAAAGTTTGAAAATACAAAAAGAAAAAAACTGACAGAACTGAAAGAAAAAACACACAAATATAAAAGTGTAGTTTGCGATTTTTAATATCCCTCTCAGTAATTGATAGAACAAAAGGACACAAAAGTTAGTAAGGATACAGAAGACTTGAACAACACTATCAACCAATCAAACTGAACTGATATTTATAGAATTCTCCACACAGTCAACTCTGAAACACACACTCTTTCTAAGTGCACATAGGACATTTATCTTAGAGGACACAGAAGGGCACATATTGGGCTATAAAATCCGTTTCAGTAAATTTAAAGATATTCAAACCCTACAGAGTATGTTATCTCACTAGACCACAATGTAACAACATTAAAAATCAATAACAAAAATATCTGTAAAATCCACAAATATTTAAAAATTAAACAACAAGCTTTAAAATAACCTATGGATTAGGTCAGAAAATATTTTGGGAAATTAGAAAACATGCTGCACTAAATAGATTAGATAGCTAGCTAGCTAGATAGATAAAAATATGTGGATACAGTTAAAGAAGTACCCAGACAGACATTTACAGCTTTAGTGCTTACATTAGAAGAAGAAAAGTTTAAAAATAAATGATCTAAGCTTCTACCTTATGAAACTGGAAAAAATAAACAGCAAAATAAACTTCAAGTAAATAGAAGAAAGAAAATAATAAACATAAAAAAGAAATCTGTACAATGGAAAGTATGTAAATAGCAGAGAAAACTGATAAATTCAAAAGTTCATTCTTTTAAAAAAAAATTCAATAATGTAAATAAACTTCTAGTGGGAAAAGGATATGAATAGACACCTCTTTAAAAAGACATTTATGTGGCCAGAAAACATATGGAAAAAAGCTCATCACCACTGATCATTAAGAGAAATGCAAATCAAAACACAATGAGACACCAAAACACACGCCAGTCAGAATGGCTGTTATTAAAAGGTCAAGAAACAATAGATGCTGGTGAGGCTGAGGAGAAATAGAAATGCGTTTACACTGTTGATGGGAATGTAAATTAGTTCAACCATTGTGGAAGATAATGTGGCAATTCCTCAAGGATCTAGAACTAGAAATACCATTTGACCCAGCAATCCCATTACTGGGTATATACCCAAAGGATTATAAATCATTCTACTATAAAAACACATGCACACATGTTTATTGTAGCACTATTTACAATAGCAAAGACATGGAACCAACCAACCCAAATGACCATCAATGATAGGCTGGATAAAGAGTATGTTGTACATATATACTGTGGAATACTATGCAACCATAAAAAGGAATGAGATAATGTCATTTGCAGGGACATGGATGAAGCTGGAAGCCATCATCCTCAGCAAAACTGACACAGGAACAGAAAAGCAAACACCTCACATTCTCAATCATAAGTGGGACTTAAATAGTGAGAACATATGGACACAGAGAGGAGAATAACACACACCAGGGCCAGTGTGGGGGTAGGGGACAAGGGAAGGGAGAGCATTAGGACAAATAGTTAATGCATAAGGGGCTTAAAACCTAGCTGATGGGTCAATGGGTGCAGCAAACCACCATGGTACATGTATACCTGTGTAACAAACCTACACAACCTGCACTTGTATCCTGGAGCTTCGAGTAAAATTTTAAAAATGTTTAAAAAGAAAGTAAAAACTATCTTCTGCTTTCTGTAGTCCCTCCCCCACCACACTCCCAATATTATGCCAGTTATCAATTCCAAGCTAATGTTTGATGACTGAAAAAAATCCTCAAAATAAGCTTTGTTTTCCATTAAAGAGAAAACCCCTAAAAATAAAAGATAAACTTTTACTATCAAGACAGATAAAACAAAAGCAGAAACACAAAGATAAATATTAGTAATAAAAGAGTGACAGCATTATAAATCTTATAGACATTAAAAAATAAAAAAGGGATATTCTGAACCACTTATGCCAACCAATTAAGATATTTTAGTTGAAATGGATAATTCCTTTGAAAACATGAATAACTAAAATTGACACAAGAAGAAATAGAAAATCTGAACAATTCTATTAAAGCCTAAATAAATTAGATTTATAACTTAAAATCTTCTGACAAAGTGGACTCTGGGTCTGGATAGATTAAATAATGAATTCTACCAAACATTTAAAAAGGAAATAATACCAATCTTAAACAAAATCTTTCAGAAAATAGAGAGGGAAGAAATACTTTTCAACTCATTTTATAAAGTCACCATTATTCTAATGACAAAACCAAAGATATTAAAATTATAGTCTAATTTCTTATGAACATAGCATAGATAAAAAATCCTTAACAAAATATTAGCAACTAGAATTTGGAAATATGATTAAAATGATAATGCATCATGACTGAATGGGGTTTATTCCAGGCATGCAAGCTTATTTAACATTTGAAAATCAATCATTGTCATTCATCACATTAATAGAATAAAAAAGAAAAATCCTATGATCATTTACAACAATGCAGAAAAATCATCTGATGAAATTCCGTGCCTTGCTATGATTTTAAAAACTCAGTAAACTAGGAATAAAAGAAAACTATCTTAATCTAATAAAGGAATCAATGAAAAACCTGAGCAAATACATAAATTAATATGGAAAGATTTAATATTTCCCCATTAATATTGAGATCCAGGCAAGAATGTTTTTTCTCTTCTATTCAACATTATATTGGTGTCCTACCAGTAAAATAAGACTGAAAAAAAATAATAAAAAAAAAACTTACAGATTAGAAAAACAGAAGTTAAACTTTTTTTATTCACATAGCACACAATTTTATTTTATTTTCTTCTTTCAGTTAATAGAGATGGGGTCTTGCTGTGTTGCCAGGTTGGTCTCAAACTGTTAGCCTCAGGCAATCCTTCCACCTCAGCCTCTCAAAGTGCTAGGATTATAGGCATGAGCCACTGTGCCAAGTCATGTACATAATTTTCTGTCTAATAAATACTAACAAGCCTACCCTAAAAGGCTACTATATTAATACGTGACTTTAGTAAGATTGTGGAATACAAAGTCAACGTAAAAAATCAATTGTATCTCTGTATACAAGCAACAAATACATAAGAAACAAAAATGTAAAGCATCATTTACAATAGCATCAGAAATAGTTAATATTTTGGAATTAATTTAACCAAACATGTATAGGACCAATGCTAAAAGTTACAAAAAAACTACTGAAAGAAATTAAAGACCTTTAAAAATGGAGAGACATATCCATTTGTGAATTGGAAAACTCAATATTGTTAAGCTGTCAATTCTCATCACAATGATCTATAGATTATATGCAACACCAATCAAAATCCCAGCAGGCATTTTTTTCTTTAGGCTATTGTTATACTGAACCTAAACTTTGTAAGAAATGAAAATAACCTATGTTAGTCAAAACAATTTTGAAAAAGTTCAAAATTGGAGGACTTAATTTGATTTCAAGGCTTACTTTAAAGCTACAGTAATCAAGATGTATTGCCTCTGGCTGCTTCTTCATTATGATGGCAGAGTTGAGTAGTTCTAACAGGGATCACATGGCCCAGGAGGCCTAAAATGCTATCTGGTCTTTTATAGAAAGAGTTTGCTGACCTCTGTGATAGATGATGCTCAAATGTAAGACACTCCTATGTTCAATTTCTGCTTACCAGGTATTATTCCACTACTTTCTCTGTTACTCATTATAGCATATTAAAGTGCAGATAACGGAAAATAATTTTAGAAATAATCTTTAATCCCTTCTACTTTATTTAAAATAAAAATTGTTGAGAGATTTTGGTAGTTTATAGTTAATAATATGTTATTTCCATATCCCTTACAACTGTGTACAAAGCCATAGTGGAAAAGCAGTCTAACCAGGATGAAGATAATTACACACTGAATTTGTATAGTATGCAAATATGTATATGAAGCATTATAAGCATTATTTGACCCATTTTTTAAATGAGGAGGCTGACTGGCAAATGGATCTATTAGACCCCACAGAAAGTGAGGAGGGCATGGTTAGGAAAAACAGACCAATGGGACAGTGAAATGAATAGGTTCAGATTGGTGATGAATTACACATAGGTAACGAAGTCAAGAAAGTATTGGAAAAGTAATTCTGAGGGTTGTTGTGAATCTGGGTTTTTAGACAGTGCTGCCATTGACCTGGTAGAAAAATTGTGAAAAAAATATTTATTTCACCATTGAGAGCAGATTGATTATGGGTTCAATTTCCAATTGCTTAAAGTGGTGCTTTCCAAATTAATAAACTTAACAAAGTACCTGGTCATCTTGTTAGAATGCAGATTCTGATTTTGGGACAAGGGCCAAGATTCTGTTTCCAACCAGCTTCCAGGTGATTCTGATATGACTGGTTCAGGAACCACACTTTTTAAAGAAAGGCATTAAATGTGATTAATGGAAATCCAACTGTAGATTCCTTCTGGAAGGTAAGAGGAGGGTCCTGACAGGGAATATTGGTTATGCAGTTGGAAAGAAGCTGTTTGTCTTCTCTAGAGGCAAGATGCATAACCAAGGGCCTACAATCTTGAGGGGATTCTCAATGCAGAGAAGGGAAAGATCCAGAACAATCAAGGAGCCAGAATAAGAGCTATCAGAAAAATAGAAGAACTAGGAGCATTAGTGTCAGTAAGGAATCCTATGGCATACTGAATTTCAAGGAGGCAATCAATGAATTCCAACACGCAACTCATTCATTATACCATCTTTCCTGGCCCCCTTTCTTTGCTTGCTTTCTTTGGTCTTTTTTCCAGTTCTCTGTAGAGTGTAGCAATGATTACTGGATTGTCTGTCCAAAGCTTCCCTACCCCCCTTTTTTCTTAAGAAAGCCTCCCCTTATCAATATGACTACCATAAGAGCTGCCATGTTTTGTTTTTTTTTTTTTTGAGATGGAGTTTCGCTCTTGTTATCCAGGCTGGAGTGCAATGGCCCGATCTCGGCTCACCGCAACCTCCGCCTCCTGGGTTCAGGCAATTCTCCTGCCTCAGCCTCCTGAGTAGCTGGGATTACAGGCACGCGCCACCATGCCCAGCTAATTTTTTTTTTTGTAGTTTTAGTAGAGACGGGGTTTCACCATGTTGACCAGGATGGTCTCGATCTCTTGGCCTCGTGATCCACCCGCCTCGGCCTCCCAAAGTGCTGGGATTACAGGCTTGAGCCACCGCGCCCGGCGAGCTGCCATGTTTTTACATGACTCTCTGTCCTCTTCCTACAGTTGATTGGTCCAGGCGTGGACACCTGCTCCCAGCTCACCTAATCATAAATTTCTTCCCTTTGATTACTCAAAATAGGATTCTACAGAGAAAAAGTTGTCAGGTGCAAAACAGCCTTTATAGTAGGAAAAGTCGTTAGGCACAAAATTTACTCACCCTAATGTGCAGCCGTCTTAGGAGCCAGTACAGAAAAAGAGTA